ATTTCCTAAACCAAAATTTTTTTTTAAAATTAAATTCAAACCAAAAAAAAAACCCGGAAAAAAAAAAAAAAAAAAAAAAAAAAAAAAATTACGGAAAAACAAACAAAAACAAATTATCATTGATTATCAACCGCAAAATTAACAGCAAACAGCAAATCAAACAGCAAATCGAAAAAAAAACTTGAAACAAGTCAGAAATAAAAAAAAAATTTACAATTTTACATCATTTAATCGAAGGACGACTGTATTATATTGTTTATTGCCACTACCACTACTATTACTACAGTGCTACCTACCACTACTAAAAAAAAATGATCATTTATTATCATCAAATTGGTGTGATTGGTATAACATTTAAACACAAAATATTCGTTTTTTGTTGTTGTTGTTGTTGTTGTTGTTGTTGAAACACGTACAATCCAAACAAACAATAAAATTATTGAATTAACACGCATACATTTGACTATAGTGTTTTTTAGTTGATGTTTTTGTTTGTTGTTGTTTTGCTCAATCCACGGGGTTAGTTTGACTAACCAAAATCATCATCATTCATAATCAAAAGGAAAAAAAACAACGAACAAAATAATAATTTAAAAAAAGTAAGTAAAAAAACTGGATTTTGTTTTGTTTTTTGGGATAATCTTTTTTTGTAAACAAACGAAAGCAAAGTTTTTTTGTTTTTGGTCAGAATTTCTCCGAAAAAAAAAACAAAATACAATTCCTTTGCTAAAATATCCCAATCTGTACTATTTTTCCCTTAATCTTTATCTAGAATTCAAGTTTGGTGTTTTTTGTTGTTTTGATTTTATTGAGAAAAGCAAAATCCCCTTAAAAATTCTGTTAAATTTCCAAAAACCAAGGCAAAACAAAGAAAAAAAAAACAACAACAACAAATAAACAAACATTAATATCCAGAATATTTTCCTTATGACTTTTTTTATCCACTTTATCAAGAAGCAAAAAAAATTCTACACATACCGATTCTATATAATTTTTCTCATCTAGTTTCTACAAATTCTGTTGTTGTCACACACACACCACAAATATATTCTGTAGAATCTACCATTTTGATTCTCACTGCAGTTCAGCATTGCGATAATAAAAAAAAGAAAGGAAAAAGAATTCTTGCTCTGTGTTTGTTTGTTTTTGTTTGTTTTTTTGGCTGAATTTTTTTTTGTTTTCAAAAATTTTCATATTTATTTTCTCTCACTTTACTTTTTTTTTCAATCATATGACTTTTTTTTTGTTTGTTCGGTTGTAAAGTCATCACATCATCATCCTTCATCATCATTTGTAAAAGGAATACTGAATTTGTAAATTTAAATAAAAATATAAATATAAAAATATAAAAAATGACAACACCAACAAAACGTCGTTTGATGCGTGATTTTAAACGGTAAGTTTTTTTTTCTATTTCGAATCGAATCAAATTAATGAATTTTTCCCGGGTTAAAAACAGAATTCAAGATGATCCACCACCGGGTATTAGTGCTGCACCACATGATAATGATATAATGCGTTGGAATGCTGTTATTTTTGGGTAAGTTTTTCCTAGTTTTCTGGTTTTCTTGGTTTTCTGGTTTTCTAATCAAATTCAATAACAAACCACCACCATTCATCCATTCCATTATAATATAACAGGCCACCAGGTACACCATATGAAGATGGTACATTTCATTTAACATTACAATTTTCTGATGATTATCCAAATAAACCACCATCAGTAAAATTTGTATCAAAAATGTTTCATCCAAACAGTATGTCTTCTTTGTTTGTTTGTTTATTTATTGTAATTAGTTTTTTGTTTTTGTAATTAATAATCTCTCTCTCTCTCTCTTTCTCTCTCTTTATTATATTTTAGTTTATACTGATGGTAGTATTTGTTTAGATATATTACAAACACGTTGGAGTCCAACATATGATGTATCAGCAATATTAACATCAATACAATCATTATTAGATGAACCAAATCCAAATTCACCTGCAAATGCATTAGCAGCACAATTATTTATGGAAAATCGTAATGAATATATAAAACGTGTTTCAGCTATTGTTGAATCTAGTTGGATTGAATCAGTTGATAATGTTATTGATGATCCATCTAAATTATGTCCATCAACATCATCAACAACATCATCATCATCATCATCGACAACGGCTAATAATCAATCAAATGATCGATAATAAATCAAAATCTATCTATCTACATCATCAAATCGACTAACACTAACATACATTTTCATTTGGATTGACATTTCACAATCTTCTCTTCCCTTAACCCCATTCTATACTAATTGACTGTTTGTTTTTTGTTTCTGTTTTTTTTCTGTTTCATTTGATTTGTTTGTTGCTAATATCGTTGTTTATTCCAAAAATAAAAAAAAAATATTGTAATTTGACCCTGGCACACCTCTAATCCATCCACAATTTCATTTCATCTTGCATAATTATTTTTCAAATTATAAAACTAAAACAAAATACAAATTTTATCACATTTATGAAATTTTTAAATACTTTTTAAAAGAAAATTAATTAATTAATTAATTAATTGTGATATGAATAATCATCATATAATTATAATTAATCAATGTGTAATTAATATCGAGAAAATTATAAGAAAAAAAAAATTATTTAAACAAAAAAATGGCTGAAAAAAAACTATAATTATAATCAATCAAGTTTACAATTTCATCATCATCATCATCATCATTATCAGTGATGAAAAACCGGAAAAACAAACATTGTGTAATCCTCTTTGGTGGTGATGGAAGAGATGTATTATGTAACCAAATGAATAAACTTTTTTTTTTTTGAAATTAACCCTTTGTTTTCGTGTTGTTGTTGTTGTTGTTGTTTGATTTACAAACTTGGCATCCATTTTTTTTTCTGCCATCAAGATTCTATTTTTAGCCATTTTTGAAAAAAATAAATCATAGTTAGTCGTTGTCATCATTTTTTTTCTGTTGAATCGAATGAATGACATCACAAAACATCAAACGTCATCATCATTTTATTTGAAATTCAAAAAAAAAATTTATTATTA